TCTCCTTGAGTTAGTTTCAGTTCAAGAATACACTGAAATCACTTACTTGAACATGGTTGTTGTTGTTGGTTTTTTTCTGTCATCTGTATTTTCTTAACCATATCTTATTCTGTCACTTTCCTGTGAAATCAATGCCTTCTTTCCTATATCCTACTAATACTGTCTACTAATAAAGAACCCTGTAGAGTTTCTGCTTTGGGGTCATCATTCTTCCAAATGAATGACTCCTCCCACCCCTCGTGCTATTGCTGGTGTATTGGCAGTTCATAACCCTGCCCCAGGCTGTTTGCCTATGGTTCTTCAGGCCTCAAGTAGCATTTCTTAGAATCTACTGGGCAACTCATTAGTTCTGAAGATGCCATGTTAGGGAAGTTTCTTGTTCCATAGACTGCTAAGTTTGGGGGAAAAATTTTTATAAACCATCTATACTAGGTACACAAAGGAGTGGATAAATGAACATTTGTGTAGTGCTTGGTAGTATGCAACTTTAGAAGCCCTGTAATGAATAAATGTTGTTTCACCCAACATTTCCTAAATGTGTTTTCTTATGAAACATTTTCTGATGTCCCATAGAATTGATGTTTCATAAAACAAAATCTGTGATACTACATCCTGAAGTGCAAAGTGGTGAGCAATCAGGCAGCCTACTGTGCAATTTAGCATTCTCTTCTCTCTTCTCTGCCCGTTAACACTGTGCACGGCCCTTTATCTTAATTCACCCACCACTCTGTATCAGTTGTTAAATTACCTGTTGTCTTCCCCATCTCGGAAGGTTCTGACAGTGCTTCAGAGGCATTCCTGATCCCTGTTCTGAAAGGCAAGGCACACTTCTTTTGTCTTTTCTTCTCTCCTTATTTTAGACCCTTCTCTCTGTCTCCTCTTCAGCAACTCCACTGGATTTGGAGCTGAGGAAGAGAAGGGAGTGTTGAGACTAGAGGCTGTTTGCTGAGTCCCTGTAGGTTAGTGCCAGGGCATCATATCCATTTCCATGTCAGCCTATCTCTTGCCAGGGCATCATGTCCATTTCCATATCAGCCTATCTCTAAGGTGTTTTTGAAAGCATGAGAACAGTTTATAGCAGGCATCTCTTGACTCTAGATTATAAATAGTGTCTAGTTAAGAATATTCTGGATGGGTTAATTAGAGTGGTGACTGTTATTAAGCAAACTGCTTGTTAGTATTATGCCTATTTGAACTTGGTATTGATGAGAAGTAATTGACCACAGAGCTGCATTCAGAAAAGCAGAAAGGCTGTTGTTTTTACATTTCTATTAGGGCAGTAAATTGTTTACATAAAAATCTCTATGAAAATATGAGCTCCAAGGCACAGAGATTCACATTGTGTAGAATGATGAATAATATTTATTTTCTGATTGATGTGTTTGTCCAGCCTGCCTAAAAGCCAGCTTTATTGAAATTTAGTGGTTGAAATGTGTTTTATTTACTATCACTTTTGATACAAACTATATGACAGTAGTGTTTTTAACTTACCCCTATTAAAGGAGGTATCCTGTTAAATCCAGGTAACTACCTAAATACTTCTTTGGGTGACAATCACTATAATAAATAGACTGTTAAAGAAAAATGTGAAAATATGTATAAATAAGAAAAAAATTGCTTGTAACCACCTTCTTCTAAGTACTGGATTGTTATCTATGTTATTTATTGGTATTTTGTCCAGCTCAATTATTAAGTTTCCCTAGCTCTAGCATTCCATGGGGAATTTATTCTATGAGCTAATAAATTATACCGTCAGGGAGTTTTTCTTGAAATTCAGCTTAAAATTTCCCATTCTTAATTTTATCTCATTATTCCTAGTTATAGCCCCTTGTACCAGGCTAAATAATTATTCTTTCTCCTTAGAGACTCCTATTATGTATCCATCTAGTTGTCACTTCACCAGGCCATTCATATTTAGCTCCTTTAATCTGTCCTCAAAAATCAACTCTTCCATTGCCTTAATCATTATTATTGCTCTTCTAAAAACTATCTAATTCTCAAACATCTACAGTTGTTAGGGGTACCAGTAAAGTCAGCATTCACTGAGACTCAGCTTCTTCCTGCCTCTGCAATAGGATCCAAAACCCACTGTACCTTTACTAGGCCAAGTCAGCACTTGCTCATCTGGGCTAGGTCAAGATGTCTCCAGAGGCGCTTTCCTTATGTCCATCCGATTTCAAGATTGATTCTGATCTCATGGGTTCATGAGACCTGTAATCTCTTTGAATTACTGTCCTGTTTATATCCTGCATCTTCCCATGTCCTTACTCAACTACCTATCAAGGCAGCTGCCACACCTGTCTTAACCTGGGAGTCTGATCATCCTGAGCTTGTTGTGCAAAGCACATGGAGTACAATCAGGCCTAGAACCTGTCACAAAATTCCTTGTCAGTTATCAACTCCTTTGGCTTACAACCCTTGAGCTAATCTCTATCTCTTTTAATGTGTAGTTTCCTTCACATGCTGGACAGTGTAGATTTTAATAGAGTAAGATGGGCCATGATACTCTTTTCTAAAAATGAAGATGTTGTTTTGATGTCCATTGATTTATTTGTAATTGTAAATCTCTTGTGCACTATTTGTAGTTTTGTTGGAATCTTTTTTTCCTTTTGTTGGCATACTTTATCTGCATAAACAAGTAGACTCACTCTTCTGCTGCTTTCCAGATGTATCTGAGGCCGGAGTATCCTTCTCTTACCATTGTGCTCTTTTGTCCAGGAAGTTAAAGATTTGTCACACACACACACACACACACACACACACACACACACCCTTTGTGGTCATCAGTGAGAACTTAAGATGCCCTTCATATTTTGAAATTGGTTTAGGAGAAAAAAAAACCAAGTTCATTTGTTACTTTAAAATTTCTGCAGCTATGAGGTGAAATCTGTGAATGCCCAGTCTTCTTCCCACTTCAAATCAAAGACTGTCTTAGTATTTTATTGAGGTACTTATAGAATTAGTACCAGTCTTTGGAGTTTCTTTTTCTGTGCTGCCATTTGTTTAGCAGTAAGGAAAGAAGGAGTTACATGTATCTCATTGATTTTTCTCTAATTGTTTGAAATCAGAACGAGGCTTCATAAAACAAGCATGGGCTCCCTAAAGATATCTTTTGATTTTAGAATCTTCGTGGTATGCTATATACAGGCTGTTCAGTTCACTCCCCTGTGCTTTCTATTGTTGCTCGTCAGGCCTGACTTTAGGGCTAGCTAACTCTCTCTTCCTATTTCCATAAGCACTTTCCTCACTCCTCCATGCACCTGTTTTTGTTTCTTACTTTGTTTTTTAATATCTTTTACTGTATATACTTCCTGCCCAGCCCTCCCCCACCCTCACCCTGTGAAGGGAGCATGTATACACACTTTTATGTTCTCATAAAAGAGAAACTTTTAGTTCTCATCTCCACCTTTATTCACCTGGCTTGAAATAAGGGATTTTAAGAAATAAGTCTTCAGATTTCACACTTGGTATCAGGTTTTTTTATTTGTTTGTTTTCTGTTCCTTTCCTCTTCAGCTTTGCAAGAAAGCTGTTAATTATCTTTTCAAACTACCCCCTTCCCAGTAAATCTAGCCATTCATCACACGTTGCAGTTTTTTACTCTATTTCTCAAGGCCTTCCTGTATTCAGAATCCCACTTCTTTACTTAGCAAGTGTTCCAACAGGAATAGCGCTAAGTTCTTGTGTCTTACACACCTATCTTCCTGTTTTTCACTGCAAGATTTCTGCCTATTCCATCCTACAGAGACTCTGTGAGCATTAGCAGCCATCAGCATGGAACAGGCTGAAGTGCTGAGCTGCCATACTCCAAGGCCTTCTGATTGGGTCTTGTGCTTCTGTTTACATATCCTGAAGAGGAAGGCTTCTGATTCATCTCTATAATGTGGCATTACCCTCTCCAAATCACTTTCTCCATTTAGAAATGTTCCTTCTACTTCCAGGAATTTTCTTCCCACCCACCTCTTAAGTACATGCATTCTCAATTTACGCCATGACTCCACAATTTAGGAAAAGGCCTAGTCTCTGGATGGGCTTACAGAATCCTGAGAGTTCAGTCACCTGGCCCAGCCAGGGCCTCCTGACCTGCTTCATGAACTCTTGGTTGTGTGCTCCTTCCAGAGCAGGCCCTCTCCCGACATGTCCTTTTTTGCTATGCCCTCAATACACAACTTACCTGCTTTGCACATCTTTCAACAAAGCTCTCATTAAGCCTTTACTGATATGCAAGCCAGGAGTACCCTTTTATTTCCCAGTTTCAAAAGTTACAATGTCTGTTGTATATAAGTGTTGCTAGCATAGGTGTTCACTCCCCTTTCTCTCACTGTAAGCACTCATGATTTGCTTCCCATAGATGGGCAGCTCCTTGAAGTTAGATCTTTTAATGGCTTTTTGATTTTAGGTTGTATTCAAATTTTTAAAAAGATTTTGTTTTATTTCAGTTCTTTGCAATCAGTACCATATTTAACTCTGACAATGCATTATAGGAAAAATGTAAAAATTACAGAGTGAGTAAAATAAGCTTCAGGAACCATCAGGCAGATCAATTTAATAGAAAGTATGTATAGGTTCCCAGGATCCAAAACAGCCACATGACCAGAAATGGCAAGAGTTAATTGAGGAAGTCTCAGATATTGTCAGTGAATAAAGAGTGTCCTCGGCCATGGACTGCCTAGAAACCACAATATGGGAAGCTAGAAAGACAATGAGTAAGAGATGATAAACCACATCTATAGTTGTGTGCTCTACAATATGTGCCACACCGGTTTGTAGCCACAAAAACTCTTTGAAAACTATTAAAAGAAAGTCGTGACCAACGTCAAACCTTTGAACTTTCTCTTGGTGACTAATACTTGTTGCACTTTCCTGAGAACTTTTGTTATAACATCTTTATTTTTTTCCTCATTTTTGCATGTTGTCACTGTGTCCTTATAGGAAGGTAAGGGACCAGTTTTACTTTTTTTTTTTCTCACAAAAAGCATATTGCGTTCCCTTTTTGTAACAGATTCATGCCCAAGCACAAAATAGCCCACTTAAGGAGGATGCTCAGCCTTATTGGAAATAGTGTTGCAGCTCTGTCCGAGATGCTTCTTTCCAAACCAGAGCAGTGGGATTCTAAGAAGTTACTGGAGAATTTTGAACAAGAGTCTGATAAACAACCTGGCCTTGATGCTGAACAGGAAACCATGGACAACCCATCAACCCATAAATCGTGCTTGGAGAAGTCCAGCCTGTCAGATAACTCAGGCTCTCTTCCTGTGAGCGAGGAGAATTGGGCTCTTGATGCTAGCCAGCTTTTGTGTGGAGCTGATGATCAGCAAACACCATTGCACATCATATGGCCTCACAGGTGGTAAGTCAAGATACGTCATTTTATAAGAGTTTTACATAATGGGCTTTGGTGGTGGGCTTTCTAACTTGCTGTCCTTGTAGCTTTAGAAAAGGATCACTTGAATTTGCATTCACAGTTCACGTGGTAGTATTACTGTACAGGTACAGCACCAAGGCAGCACTGCCCATAACTGTACATTAATTATTGCGCTTTTACTCTATATGTGAATGATAGATAGTATCTGTAATGATTAATAGCAGCCAGACCCATTTAGAAAATCAAATCTTATTCAAGAAGTTTCAAAGTAGAAAAATCAGATACCATTATACACTCAACAATGACCGTTAATCCAGAATTATTTCACAGATGGTCTTCCACAAACCACATCACTGTTAAAATAATAATTTCCATTTTTGATTCTTACTTTGTCCAGTGTCAACTGGACAGTTTGATTTTACTTGTCTTCGTGTGTGTGTTAGTGCATGTGAAGCGGTCTGCCTCCTCCCAGATGCTTTTGTATTGTGCTAGGCAAAACTGCAGCTGAATGTCTTCTCATCACAGCAAAATCAATGCAACATATAATCCCACCAAATGTAAACTCATAAACCTAGCCCTGGCTTCTATAAATTAGGATTTAAGGAGGTAAAATGTCCTGATAATCTTCTTGCATTAGGCATGAATATTTTAATCTAGTTTTTTTTTTTTTTTTTTTTTTTTTTCCTCCCAGTTAGTTTAATCTGCATGTGGCCTGATTAGAGTTGCTTCCCCTACAGATTATGGCCTCTTTATTGCAGCAGTGCTGGGCTGATCATTAGGTCCGATTGAGAGCAACTGTTTGCAGGTGAAGTAATAAGCAGACACACCGGCAGGAAAGCGCCTTTGCCCAGGATTTGCCTCCAAGCACATTAAAACTCCTCCAGCTCTCCCAGTTGATCTGCAGCATCTGGTACCTAAAGGGATTTTGTCTTTGATTCTGAATGCATGAACCTGAAATTTAGGGGCTAAGTGTTGTTATGAGATGCAGTTTGGGGTTTGTTTGTTCACTGTCACTCTTCCAGCATCATGTTATACTCAGAATGTCACAAGGCTCAGTACTCTTTCATGTGATATGAGATACATACCGATTTGAAGATAAACTACAGATCCTCATTTACTACCTTCTGAAAACCTCACTTATTCCATTAACCTATGCTTCTCTCTAAATGAATAGTTATTACAAGAAAGTCAATTCTAAAAAGTTTGGTTCTGGATTTTCATAAAAATATTAAGTAATTTGGAGACTGTGGGTATAAAACAGCAATATACAGGCGAGATTGAGAACCATGTTATTCAATACTTTGCACAAAATTAGACAGAGCTATGTTAATAAAATTAACAATATTAAATTGAATAATTCCCTCTCTTCCTTTGTATATTTTTGCTTTAATTTAATTTAATTGCCTAAAGTTAGTTGCTTAAAGAGATGCAGCATGATGTTTGTGCACATTCTTATTGTTAAAGCTAAATTATTTTTAATTTGGAGAAGAGGGAAAAAAGCCGCATCAGCAAGAGTAAATGCCAAAATATAAAAGTAACACATTCATCCTTACGGGTAATATAGTAGAACATTGGAAACTTGGAGGTTGCCAGACACATAGCTAACATTAGGGCTAATTTTGAAAATCTAGCGTGCAGTCAATTTTACTGATGCCTGGGGACATACAAGGTAGAAGCTGACAAGAGAACTAATTTTGTTTGGGTTATTTACTGCTATGCATCATCCACGGGTTCCCGCCTGACACACAGCTATATGAAGGGGATATTATCACACACTAAAAATTTATGTTGACATTCGATATTTGTTCAATATGTCAGCAGTATTACTTTCATAATCAAAAGAGTAAGAAAAAGAAAAAAGAAAAGCACTTTATGCTCATATAGATATATCTTTTTAATAACAGTCTATAAGGTTAATATAGTTTACCTTTGAGAGTATACAATGAAAACAAGCAGGGTTAGGAGGGGAAATGACAGAAAGCATCAACCCGAGCTGTTTGTTTGCCATTACCTACGCGAGCCATGTCAGCTCTCTGGCCCGCGTCTGATAGCTATTTGTTGTACAGAGAGCACAGCATAAAAAAAAAAAAAATATCAAACTCTTAATACTATTGTGTGCCCATAACCATCTGTCACTGCTAGCCTGGAGATGAGAGGAAGATTAGGAGGAATAAACACTGAGCCGCCGAGCATTGGTAAAGCCTTCGGGCAAAAAACTCTTGTGGGGACATCAAAGACATTCTAATTCCGAGGCAGTCAAGGATTACAGTGTGTAACCTGTGCTGACAACAGATAAATGACTGGCAATATTGTGCCAGAGCTGTTGGGTCCTGCATGGAGTACTGATGATGATGATGATGATGTTATCTTGCAGAATGGACTCTGCTGGGATAATTTTATGATAAAACACTTTTTTCAAATGCCACTGGGTCTAGGCAGACATTTACTAGCTACAGGGGTAGCAATCAGTTTCTTCAAAATTTACTGTTCTAAGCCCATTAGAGTTCCGGCACAGCAAGACTCTTCAATGAAAAGCTAAAATGCCTATGTTTTCTTTAGGAGAATATATGCAAATGTTGGAAGCTGAACTCCTACCCTTTAGTGGTAGGTGCTTTATCATCTGATTTATGTAAATTTGCTCATAAAAATCCAGTTTATTTTTAATTGGTGAATATGAATTAGAAAATTAAGACTCTGGTTCAGCATTCATCCCCAGCTTCAAGCACACATTCATTTAGACTTCCAGTTGTATGGCTGGAAATCCTATCATTGACCTATCGCAATGAATTTTGTTTTCAAGGAAAGCAAGAGTTCACTGGAAATGAACAGGGCTGTCTGGGTCTCTTATGCAGCCCTTTTCCCTTACAACTCCATCCTTAGACTTACAGTGCCCTTGTCTGCATCAAGCCACTTTAACTCATGCATTTCATCTGAGTAGCTGTGGGAAGCTCTGCTGTCTGTTGCATTTTTGTCTTGGTGATGCTCGTTTTACAGAGAGGTGTTTCAGGACAGGAGAGTACATATAAAGAAAAAATGGGTAAATGCAGCCCAGGGAGATGGCAGCCCTGCTCTTTCCCCTCCTCAGTATCCTAGGCACTGTGTTGTGAAATCATGCAATTGCGGCTAACTGGAAAATGAAGTAATAGTGAGCTCACTGTACTTCTTCCATGACGGGGTCATGATGGTCTCAAATACGGTGTTAACCTCTAACGTGTACTGAGTCCACCAGCTGTTGAGCCTCTTTGGTGGAATATGTATCAAAATCAAAAGTGACATTTTCTAGAAGATACTTTCTGACTTTATATCTGTGTTAAAATGCCTGTGCATGAGAACAGACCCTTCAATGCAATGTTTGCTCCCTTTTGGTCTTTCTGAATCGGAGATTGCTGAGGATTATAGTGTACAACCTCTGCTGACAGTAGAAAAATAACTGACAGTATTTTTACAGAGTTTCTGAGTTCTCTGCAGAGTAATTTGTTTTCTCATTTCTACCCAGTCTTTAATGTTTTGTTATAAACATCTATAGCACAGCACAGCTAATAGAAATGACTTAGAGAAAGACCTGTGAAAAACACTGCATTCAGCAAGGCTTGTTTTTTTTTTTTTAAGCTGTTTCTTTCCAAGTAGTACAGCACTTCACCAGCTTCCAACCTTTATGTAAATGTTTCTATATCACAACGAGCACAAAGATAAACAAACTGGTAAATGGAGAGTCAAAACAAGTTTAGAGCACAGGGAAAGCTCACACTTGGCCAGGTCCCTGTTTTCCAACTCACACTCTGTAAAATGAGTGGGTCAGTGATATAGTTGGTAGTTGGGGAACCTCTTGCATAGAAAGCCTGATGACCTGAGTTCTATCCCCCAAATCCATGAAGATATAGGAGAACCAATTCCACTCAGTTGTTCTCTGTCCCATATCCACATGCCACATGCTGTCATGTTAATAAGAAAGGTTTACAAAATTCATGGAACACAAAGGGCTTTTGTTTAGATTATACCTGTATTCACTGTCTTACATGATAACTGTAAATCACATTGGTGTTTTTGTTTTTGTTTTTGTTTTTGTTTTTTAGGTGGCTTGTTTGTTTGAGACAGGGTTTCCTCTTACTGTGTTGCTCTTACTGTCCTGAAACTCACTCTGTAGAACAGGCTGGCCTTTAATTTCCTGACTGCTAGGGTTAAAGGCATGTGCCACTATGTCCAGCTCACACTGTCATGTTAAGTAACAAGAATACAGTAACAAGCACATGCTAACACAAATTATGTTTTGTAAAAATAGTTTCCAAAATAAAAAATATTGGTGAAGAATGACATTAATTCACTACATCTCTATACCCGTTACAATGTAAAAGACTCTGAAGAAATTCCTGCTTCATAGAGAGATGTCAATCTGTTGTGCATATTGTAGATGCTCTTCTTTTATGCTAAATCAGAATTTAACACGATGCATTTGTTGAAGGTTAGTTGCAACATGGAGTCTGAAGCCACCAGAAAGCATTACTCATGGTTGTTCCTTGCAGATTGAATAGATGCTTTAGCATCAGGCATCGGTCACATGGAAAGCAGAGGCTCACAGGATAATGCAAGTCTGCTACACACTGACATGATTCATCATGTGATTTTGAAACACCACTATGAGTCTCATAAGAAACATGCTGGACTCTTAAAAAGCTGTTAGGCTCATGGTATAGATAGAGTTTCACCAATATTCTGTTGGTCATTTAAACACTTGAATATGTGATAAAAACACAAATATCAGTTATCTTCCTTAAAGTGAGTTTCACACAATTCATATTTGAAAATATTTGACATGTTCAAGTCCAATTAGCAGTAGTGTGTCTAGCATTCCTACTATTCCACTATTCCTACTATTCAGGTAAGGTATTTTTTAAAGCAAGCAGCTATTTTATCGCAGAAGTCAATCATACAATATTCATCCCAGTCATTATATCTTAATTTACATGAAAGTTCTCTTTTGTACATTT